ATTTCAGCCAATCAAATTCGTGAATTCGGTAGTTCCCAGTCCTTGTGAGACACAGCTATATAGTAATAATAAATAATAGTAAAGCTAGTGAACAGATTGGTAAATAATAAACTTATTATTTATCAATCTATTTAATGGACTGCTGCATGCACAACTTTTTTGCCACATTAAACATCGACAGTCAACTCTTTGAACTTGTGTCATGTCTTTTAACAGAAAAGGTCACCCCAGAAAACTTATTTTTTTTGTCAAAGCTAATAAAAACCTTGCACTAAGTTTAGCCACTCACCAGAGTTTCAGCCTCTAAAGTGCAGGTTTTTCATGTGAAATTCATCTCTCAAGAAGCCATTTTGAACAGTACTTAGCAGCCAGGCCACATTTTCCTGAGGTCATTCCATCCAAGGGATTTTGCTAATGGCTTCCATCAAGGCTTTAAAACTACCACCCTAGGTCATGGCTGCTCAAACCCTATCATTTTGTGTTGTACATGCTCTAAACCCCGAAAATGATAGCAGTAAAGACAACGAAGTGGATAATCGGTTGGAAAAAAACACAATTTGCTGACCTTGTGAAGGATGCCAAGTTAGTTGCAGGTTTTTCTCCTTCCTGCCAATTTCGAGTTGGACAGAATGATGTAACACAAACACAGCCTGGCTGCCAAGTACAGTTTCAAAATGGCAGCCCCCAAAGTCACATTTTGGGGAGTCAGGATAGCAGGCAGTTTAGAGGCCAGAACTTTGGCGAGTGGAAAACCCAATGTTTTCTTGCTTATAGGTGAAGACAAAAAAGTAAGCTTTTCGGAGTGACCTTCTCCTTAAAAGAACCTCACTTTTTTCCTACAGTACAACATTTATCCAGTACCAGAGACATTAGAACAGACCTTCCAACAAATTAGTGTAAACTCCCGCCTTAGATAAATGTATTATCACATCAGAACCCATCTTGACTAAATTTTTCCATTTTATGTACAGAACCTTGAGGATGATGAAGAGTTTCAACAAGCTCTGAAAACAAGTCATGGACAAAGGCCTGGTGTAGTAAGTGATATTTCACTTTGCCTATCACAGACCTGCCAACCCACAGCAAATGGAAACCTGGAGATTGTCAGTCCTGGAACTGGTGATCTCACTACTCAAATGAAAGCTAGAATATTCCTTCCTTATATTCCTCTTGTGGTTTCATCACTAATTTATTGTTTTGCCTCAACTACATGTAAACCACCAGATGTGGAGGTGATACATACACTGTATGGGTTATTGACCAAATCTGAGGTCATTATGGCTGGGTATTGACCAAGAGTTTTTTTGTGTGTTTATGGACTGAGGCACTGCTGAGGTCCAGAAACACACAAAAAAGATTGAGACCAAATGTTTGGTCGATAAAGCATGTATACAGGGCACTATTTTCCAGTGGGATGCAGCAGGCAGGCATCCGTATTGTACATAATTTTTAGAGGGCCACTGGTTTGTTAGTATTTTTATACTATTTTAGTGCTACCCTCTTTAAATAAAGTCTTTACTTACTTACTTACTTACTTACTTACTTACTTACTTACTAAGCATTGAGCAAGCAAGCAAGCAAGCCATAGTTTGCACATAAAATCTGGGGAAAACAATTTGTAGATTAAAGTACATTTAAACCTGATTTAACCTGAAGCAAACAAGTTACAGGGAAATGAAATCTGCTGTCACAGATTTTTTTCTTTGAAACAAACAAAAATGATTGTGATGTTATTGTGTTTGTAATGGGGACTAGGCAATCTTGCTCCAAACTGGAGAATTTGGTAGGTCGCATTTGGTTTAATATTCTCACAAGTGAATAAGGCTATGTGCAAGTATTGTTTCTATTGTTTTTTCTGTCTTATTAAGTTTTCTACTATGAGTACTGAATTATCTATTTGCTTTTTTGTAACAGAAAACTGGCATGAAGACAACATCAGCTGGGGTATGATATGATTTTACGAATTGCAATTTACCATGCTGAATTTCTCACTTTTTAGGCCAACTAGAATGTCAGAATTATTTAACTTAGCTTGTAATTCCAATTGGTTATGAAAGAATTGTTATTTTGCAATGACATGGGTTTTTCTCCATTTTTTGTCCAATTTCTTTCCCACGTATGCTTTACAGCGTGGCAAAGTTCCAGGATCTTCAATGGGGCGACCTACAACTGGAATTGCAGTAAGAATGTTTATTTTGTTCCTTTAATGTCACATGCAGCCAGATTTATCAAATGGTCTTAGTTTATGATTTCTAATCTCTTGTCCCTAAGGGATTGAACAAACTCAGACATTCTGCTAAATTACACTAGTGAATGGTACAAATTGTTATTTTTCAAATAAAACACTTACTATCAGTAAGAATAAGAAGGATTAGGAGGTTAAAAAATATATTGTTTGCATACTTTCGAGGACCATAACTGCAATGTAATTGTCTGTCTATAAAAGGTGACATCTATGGGAGGTCTCCATTAGCAGAGGCTGTACTGTACTTGGCCAGACAGCTTGATCAGGAGTCAAGCACACTGATCATGAACACTTTACTTAAAGGGTTGCTACTTATTCCATCAGAGCCCAAGCTATCAGCTTAAGAGATACTGTGCACATCTACTTTTGTCAGTGGCACAAAAATACGATAGGGGCTATAACTGATGGTAATTCACCATTTATTTTTGGCAAGGATCATTGCTGTCTGTTTCAAGATTGGTTGAAGTGAATGTTGTTTCACACTAAGTGCTTTCTTGTTAGGATACAGGGATGGCTCGTCCAATGACTGCAGTTCGTGCAGTGGGTTATACATCATCAGAAAGTGAGTGGAGTTACTTGTTTGAGAATTGGAAGGTTCCAGAAAATAACTATACCCACCTCATGGAGGTCAATGCAGATACTCCTAAGGGATGGGAAGTCAAGATAAAAGGTCAAAACATTGCAAATTGTTTTGCTTTACTTACAGGGAGTTTAGTGACAATAGCTCCTTGTATCAGTTGGTTACCCCTTCCTTCGTTTTATCTTTTCTTCTTAGAACACCAAGTTTTACAAAGTTGCGTTGGTGTAATGATCATTTTTTAGGCTTGAGACCCAGAAATCAATAATTAAAACTTTTTGATGTGTACTCTACTTGCGACATTGTTTACTATCCTTTGTCACTTTAAGTACATTTCGTTTCATTATGTATGTTAAGTAAGTTTATGAAGAAAAGTTGTAGGAAGGAAGGCTGGTATTTGGGAAGGGGGGCGGGGAGGGAGGGCTATAACCAGAATATCCTTTAGTTAACAGGTAGATGAGTCTCTTAGAAGGCTTATAAGCAGGGATTGGGAGTGGCTTATAAAAGGGATTCTATAGCGTCTGTATCCAGTAGTACATGCTTCAAACTACGGAAACCAATATATCAGTAGCAACCATCTATTTATAAGAAGCATGTAGACATACTTTGGTTAATTTCATTTTACATATGTACTTATCATTTTGTTCACTTTCTTTCAGGATCTCCTATGACCAGTGGTGGCCAGTTTGACCCATTCAACCAGGCACGTTTACCTGCCCCTCCCCTGGAAGGGAAGGGCGAGGAAAGGTTGGTTGAATTGAATAACTAGGAAGATTCAATGTTTGTTTTGGTCTTTGGTGTCATTTTACAAGAGCCATTGTAGACCTATGGTTGAATGTCATCTCCTGAATACATACACTTATGCATTATGTACTTCTTGTATCATGGAGTTTTTCCTCACAACCTGGATTCTATTAACAAGAATAATTTTTTGTTCTTTGAGATTAAACTTGAAAAATGTTATTTAGTAAAAGGAGTTATAATAAATGCATGTTTGCTTGTGTTATCTACAGTCCAGAGGAGAAAGTCAAGCAAATGGAAAAGAAAGTAAATGAACTGATTGAAGAAAGCTGTTTTGCTAATGACAGAGGGGAATTTCCACTGGTAAGAAAAACATTTCTTCCATGATACTGGGTACACAATATTTTAATGTTAGTTCTTTGAGGTCAAGGGCCATATTAGGAGCTACCTGTCAAATGTTTGTAGATGCCCAGTGGGGAAAAAAGTATGACATAAACAGGGGCAAGAATAAAATGATGATTAACACCCTGACTTGTGTTATAGTTCTGATTGTTATGCAAGGACCTTCCAAAATCACAACATAAAAAGGTTTGAAATTCAGATGGGGGGCATGCATAACCTCCGCTACAGGGTCCCCATTGATCTACGTAGTATGCAAAAATTGCCAGTGTTGAGTATCTGTATTGTTGCAGGATTTGTATTGTCTGAGCTATTTTTGACACCAACCAATTTTGTTTTTTTTTCATTACAAAAGGCTCTTGATAAAGCCAAGGAGGCTGGTCGTAAAGAGCGTGCACTGTGTCGACAGAGGGAGCAGGCAACCCATCATGACCAGATAAACCTGGATTTGACTTACTCTGTGAGTACTGTGCTTTGCTGAATTCTTTTAAAACACTTGTTGTAAGTTTAATGTTTTTTGTGGATCCAAACATTCTTTTGGGGACCACATAATTCTACCTTTTTCAGGCATGGTCAGCAGTAGCCTCTTTATTAACATTATTCTATGTTATTTTCTGTCTTTGGCAGGTGCTGTTCAATCTGGCCAATCAGTACCATGCTAACAAAATGTATGCTGAGGCACTGAACACATACCAGGTTATTGTCAAGAACAAGATGTTCAGCAATGCAGGTAAACAGGATGATAATAGGAGAGACCATCCAAAAGGTTAACTAGCTATGATTGTTGATAAAAATTCTTTAATTCTTGCATTCTTTCAGGACGGTTAAGAGTGAATATGGGAAATATTTACTTTGAGCAAAAGAAATATCCACAAGCAGTAAAGCAGTATAGAATGGCCTTGGACCAGGTGCCTAACACACACAAGGACATGAGGTACGTTCCTTAAGCTGCTTGCGTGCCCTGTGCAAGTCTTAGTTTACTTTTTTTTTTACTTAGTTGCAAGACAACTTGCCTGGGCCCTTGTCCATTGGGCAAGTGAGAATGAAAAGTTTCTTGCCCAGCAGGAAAATCTACTTGTACTGGACAACTGGATAGTGCTTTTTTCGAACCCTGTGTTAGCACTCTTGTTAGCATACTTGATTTAGTTGTTTTAAGCTCACTGCCAGAGAGTTTTCTCTTATGTGATGTTTTTTGTCTTTTCTTCAAAAGTTTGTAAAACAGCCGAAAGACAAAAGAAACTTGAAGTTCTTTGTTTTTGTAAGAAATGTTTGTTACTGTTTGAGTTAGACAGGATTAAAACAAACAATAGAAAAGTGACAGACAATATCCTTTAAAAGTGCTTTTTCTTATGTTATTGATTACATGTACAAGGAAAACTTGATAATAGTACTTTTCCTTTTTAAAGTTATTACAGTGTACTAGTTGTTGTAAAATTTATAACAAAATGATCAATTAGATTAGAGCTACTTAGATTTGTAAGTAGTTCTCTATAACAATTTTCTTTTCTTCAGGATAAAAATCATGCAGAATATTGGTGTGGCATTTGTCAAGATGGCACAATTTACTGATGCTGTCACCTCATTTGAGCATATCATGGCTGAGAAGGCAAGTTTCCAGACAGGTATGTGGAATAAAAAAGGCCTTATTACCTCTGTCACTGGTTATATACCATATGTGACAGCTGTTTAAGGTTACAGTATACCTTCAGGGGTGTCTCGCACGCAGGCGATGTAGCGCGTGCAGTTTAAGCTGTAGATACCTAAACCCCTATATCAAATAAAAGCTTATGGAACTGGCTATCAAACTATACCAAGAATTTTGAAAGAAAATGAATTGTCGAATTTTTCACGACCATTAAATGCGAGCGCCCGAATCACCTTTCGAACTTGGCTCATATGTAGACTTTCCCAACCTACCTTTTCACTCAAGTCAGCATCCACAGCAGCTGTTCCGTCATTCAGTTTTACAGTTATATTCCACTCTGACGACAAGGGATCAGGACGAGATAACAAAGTGGCAATGTATGCCTGAGTGAAATGAGAGAATAAACAAGAGTTACTCTAAAAAAAGGAAATGATATGTGGTTAAATTGAAGGCAGTGTTAGAAAAAGTGTTTGGCATCTAAATTCTTCCAACAAAAAAAATGAAACTACATAAAGGAAGAAAATGCATTTGACTTTGGTTATATTTGAAATATTAGATGCATGACTGGCAGCAACTATGTGTTTATACTAAATACAAACCTTGATCCTAACAATATGCTTGTCTCTGGCTGGATGCTGTTTCAGCACCTCTGATAGATACTCAAAAGGTGCTGAATTTCTTCCCTGGTCTGTGGCATTGTTAACAAAATAAAAAAACAACTTCAGTTTTTGATGTCAAATGTTATGATGCTTACCGTCTAATTCAATATCAGATTTGACATAGAATGACAGAATAGCCAAGTGCCTGGGGTCTTCTTGGCATTCAAATGGAGGGGAGGGGGTACTCCCAGAAAAATTGGGTGGGAATGTGTGACCGGCTTCCCATTAACCCTTACCCTATTTAAGACCAAAATCTACAATTTTCCCTATCCTATTTATGACCTTACCAAAAATTTGATACCCCATTGAAGACCTGACCCTTAAATCAATACCCTGTTTTGGACCTGCCTTATAATTTGTTCCCTAGTTCAGACCAATGTTAAAGGCATTGTGAAGGGCATTTATTGAAAAAGCTTCTTCTAGAAAACGTACCCAATTCAAGACTACATGTAGAGGTAAAACCATACCCTATTTGAGACCAACATGGCTTAAATCGATACCCTACTTCTGACCAAAATGGCTAAAAAACCATACCCTTTGGGGACGCACATTATGATGCCTATAAAGCTCATAGAAGGGAGTACCCCCCCTCCAGGATTAGATGTATGACTGGCTCCACCTCCTTGTGAGAAATTCATTGAGCTTCTTAAATGCCATTCCTTTAAAAAGTTTTGGCCTTTGTTTTGACCCTCTGTTGGTGGGTATGGATATATCACACTTAACTATTGAGGAGACCCTGCTGAAAAAGTCAAATTGCCAGTGGAGCAACAAATCAATATGAGGGATCGTTGTAGCATTGTGTTGCCTTAACAATGACTTTTCACCTTATTGTACATGTACACTTAAGTCTGGTTATGACTAGTGCATAAGCAGAGGCCTTAGCAACATACGCCAATTCAGTATTGAGTAAGACGTTTAACTTAGTAATCTGCACCTTTTGTTAGGTCAGTTTCCTCACAAAAGGTGCTTTTTAACAGCACCTTATTGCCTCTGTGTATGTTGCTTATGCTTAGGTTTGTGTTTATGGACTAGTGAAAACAATTCTTTAATGATTCTACAGTTTAACATTACCTTGTGTTCCATGTACATTAAGCACATTGGGTTGGTGGTGCTGATTTGTATCAACCACCATGGGATTAATATCATCATTCACAAGGCCTGGTATGGATTCATTGTCGGGTTCGTTTTTGATCTGAATTCTGGAGGTCTGGTTAACTGATGGTCTTATTGAGTATAAATTATTAGGATTTGTCACAACATTACTTTTAGCCACTGCATTCTTGGGTTTATGGCACTGCCCAGTGTTAATGAATGTATTGCATGAGCTAAATGTGGGGTTATTCATCAAAAGAACAGGTTCTGTCTTGACACTGTTTGAAGTACAACCCTGTGGTTTCCTGGAATTTCTATCTGATTGTATTTGAATGTTAGTATTGTTTGAAGAACTTGTATTCCTTGCAAGACAGCTAAATTCTAATGATGAACTGTTTGATATTCTGGGCATTGTTCTTGCAGTTCCTTCATCACAGATTCTCTCATGAAGAGGTTTTATTTCCACAGAGTCTGTAGCTTCTGCAAGGAGATCTTCTTCAACAAAGTCATCTTCAAAGATCTCATCACCATAAAACATCTCTGAATCACTATTATCAGAGTTTATCATGTTAGCAGTTGCTGTTTTTTCATCTGTTTTGCTGGTCGTGTTTTGCGTTCCCATTTCAAGCTGATCTATCTGTTCCATGTCAAAGTCTTCCTCCATCACAAAATAGTTGTCATCTGCAACTGCAGCTAATATATCATCATCCTCATCCAAAAATTCTTGATTGCAGACTTTTTCTTTTTTACTATCAGTGCCCCAATTGCTGCTGGAATTTGCAGGCAAGACACCATCAACTCCTCTATGTCCTTTACAAGACTGTTGTTTCATTTGCCTTTTTTTCTCAGAAATTTTCCCTGTGTTGCCCAAGCGGTTGTTGTTAGAAAGACTTGCAGCAGTGTTTCTTTTGTTTGTGACTGTTTTTACAGCAGCTCTTTCGTCATTATAGGTGGTGGTGACATCACTGGCTGCATTATCTTGTATGATGATTTGATTAAAATTTGGTTCTTCATTGTCAAGAAATTCTGCTTTAATTGCACCAGGTTTCTCAGGTGGATCTAGTCCTCTACAAAAAAAAATAAAAATGAACGAGAAAACAGCCGTACTCTGATTGCGTTTTAACTATTCTTGTCTTCTCATTTTAACTATTCTTATCTTCAATTCCATTACTCTTCCTGCCAATGTTAAGCTCTTGTTGTGAAGTCACTTTTGCACCCATGCCAGGGATTTTATTAATGTTTTCAGCAGAAGGGCAACTGGTTTTTGCAGGTGGGCAAAACGTTTTGAAGTGAACTTCTTTATAAGAAAAACTTTCCTCTAGATGGTCAAACCAGGCAAGCAAAATCATCCTAAGAGCCGGTCAATTTGCCCAGTGCGTGGCCCTCAATGAAACCCCTGCCATGGGTGAAAACACACAAAATTAAATGGATGCTCTCCACATACATGTTCCTTTTTGTAATTATATCAATGGAGAATGAATGTACCTTAGATGTAGTTGGTTAATTACAGCAAGAAATCAATCCTGAATAGCAAGATCTATACCGGTAGGCACTCCAGAACTACTTCTAAACAATTATCAAGTACTAATGGTTATTTGAATCAGAACAAATTATGACTGTTCTAACAAAGTAAATTGCATTATACAAAAAGGAGCAGTACACATACATAGCTTGATGCAGGACATTCCAGTACGAGTTGCCTTCCATCAGTTGCATAATGTTTCCACCTAAGACTTTCACATTACTGGGTGTCAGTAGCAAGGCTCCAAGTCTGCAAGTTATTTGGCCAGTCACTTGAATCTACAAAAATAAGTAAAATTGTAACAATCATTTATTTTTCTGGAAATTTTTGAACAGGAGACCCTGAATTTTTGTATCACTAAATACCGGTATTGACAGACTGTCACCTTAGTTCCAGGAGGGGTTGTGACTTTAAGAAAAGGAATCAGCTGGTATTCCATCCCAAACACTGTCTGTGTTCCATCTGTCAATTCAAGCAGCAACATTCTACTGGGCTTTATTTTTGGCTCTGAGGGCTGAAAAGAGGAATCAATTCAAGCTCACTTATAAAGTGTGGTTTTCCGTTGGCTGAGGAACGAAAGAAGCGGAAAACGTTTTTCTCACGCACGGCTGAGAGTCTGGGTACAGGTGTGGTGGGGATTTCAGGTCATGTGGCTTGTGTAAGGTTTCAGTTTTGTTTTGCCATCTGCCATTGCCTGACGTATCCCACCCACCCACCCGTGAAGTACTTGTAGAATGTGTTAAGTTGAGGTGAAATTATTCTCTGGCCACTTTTTGTGTCATTGTAAGACAATTATGTTCTTATGTTAATAAAGGTCAGGCTGTGTGGTTTGGCTTGGCATGGCTCCCAGTGGTGTGTGAGAAGGTGTATATATTAGTGCCAGTGGTGATGATCAGTCTCCTATCTCTTGAACAGAAGCAAGTAGGAAGGTCTCCAAACGTTCTCCCTTAGATCCACCACTGGTATGAATGAATATTAAAGACAGGCTTTCAGCCAGATGGGCATCCAGGTGTCCTGTGGACGGCCACTTATTAAGGAAAATTGTTTTATTTTCCATACGTTGCCTTATAAATTGTTCATTTGAGCAGGCCCTATAGTGCATTTTGGATGCCCATGTTTCAAATCCTGGCTAAAAGCCTGATTAAAGATGAACTTCTACCAATGGAAACCTCTTTGGTTTTCAGTTTAACTTCAGTTGGGAATTAATATATTTCAAAAAAATGATTCAACCAAGTATATAACAATATAGATTAATATTAATTTTTGTTTTTACATTTGCTTTGTAGTTTAGCTCTTGTGGATCATCCTGTCCTTTTAGCTTTTGAATTTGAGAGTAAGCTGATTCTCCAACATTCAGAATAGAGTTAATCTGAAAGATAAGGAAAATGTTATATTCCTTAATCATTCAACAAATCACTTGCCCACGAGTGCTGGCATTTCACTACTTACAACTTCAAAAATTTAAGGTGGCTCTAAACCTCTTTGTAATGGGTTGACTCTTGTTTAGTGAGAGCAAATGCAGTTCACTAAAGAAGTAGTTTAAGGTTAAATTTAGGGTGCTTTGGCATGTTAAACTGTTGCCATAGTAACCTGATACATAAAAAGATAAGTGGGGCAAATAAACATTTGACTGAAGTTGATCATGACTTGTTTCATGCATTTGGGCTGCATACTGTTACAAGGTACCCTATTAATGGTACACTTTGATGACATATCAGGATAGTTTAGTCATACCATAGTTCATATTTTGACAAGAGGTAGTCAAGCCAAAATACTCATACCAAGACCAAACAAGCCTAATATAACACTGTGGTGTACACATAAAAGGTACAAATAGGTAATTTACTACCGTATACATTATCGACTATTTTTCATTAGAACATTATGAGTTGTATCAACCCTCTTTTTGGCACTACTTTTGTAATTTGTTGCAATATTGTAATATGCTTGTATCAATAAAATAAAATAAAATAAATAAATAAAAAAAATTTACCGTACCCAATTTGGGCCAGGTGACCATGATGTTGTAGCCATATCATATCAGGTCAGTGACTTGATGTATAAACAATAGCCTCCATTTGGCACGGAAATATACTTGGATATTTGTCCACGGACATTATCGGTTCTGAGGGTGAACCGTTTTCTGTGAGTGTAGCTTGAGGAAAACTGTGAGCTGTAAGGAACAGATAATGTCCAAAGACAAATATCCGAGCATATTTTTCGCGCCAACTGGAGGCTATTGTGTTTTTTGCCACCCATGGGGTTTTGTGGGGAATATCACTTGGATATTCTCCAGTTTTAGCTGGGGAATATTCCGTCACATGACATGTTTAGACCAATCGCATGCGCGCGAAAATATTTTATGGATTATAACACAGGATATCAGGACAGTTGGCACGGCTTCTGATTGGCTGATTGCGAATTTGGGTACGGTGATGCGGGATATCAGGCTGAATGGCCAGAAATTTCTCTAAATTAATTAATATTAAATGAATATATTATATTTAGCATGCCATTACCTGAAGGTTGAAATGCCCCTCCAATTTGGAGATATCCCTGTTTCCCAGTTCCTCTGGAAGGCGAGGGAGACTTGATTCTTGAATGTCAGCCATTAACCACTGCTCATACACCAGCTCGTTCAGCTCGACAGGGGACAACTGCCTTTCCTACATATTCAATGCAATAGTTTGAAGCGCTTTTATCAGTCAAGTTACAAAAAATATTGACACACAGTTTTCGTACCTCGTTGTCTTCTCTCACAAAAATTATGCAGGCTTCCAACCAATCATTTTGAACGTAAACATGGCGAGATTCCAGCCATCGACGGACAGTCGCCATTTTGAAACCGGCGCGGGAAATTGATCGCATGCGCACTGGGTTACTAATGACGCGAAGGTTGTCGGGGGCGGCCATATTTGTTGATGGCAACTGCAAAACATTCCGAATTTTTTTTCGTTTTGATGTAAAAAATAAAAGATTAGGGGGGTATAACAATACTACAGAATGATGCAGTCAGTACATCTCGTTGGTGAGGAGGAAGATGAGCTGTACAGTGGTTTTAACGATTACAATGAAGCTTTTGACACAGAGGTAAAGTATGATTCTGATCGAGTCTGCAACCTATAGTTTTGCCGATTAAATACCTGATTCGATACGTTGAGGAAAATTGGAAGTAATATAAGTTGTACGAGTTGAATTTAGATAAGACTGGGTAATGAAATGTTTGTTAAACCACATTGATCGTAAGCTGGCGCAACACCCAAGAAATGAAATGGTGAACCATCTCCCCCTCCCCCTTCAGCACAGAAGAAAGAAAAACAAATTTAAAAGAACAATCTGTGTGGAATTGTTGCAGCCTGAAGTTTAATATGAACAGGTAGATCTCTTGGATTGCCTTATATTGTAATGCTGTTTCTACTCTGTGAGCTCTGATTGGCTAACGAGCTGTTTTATCAGAGTATACAACATCAAAAAGTAGAGATGCCAACGTGAAAAAGTTGAAATCCGGGAGATTGCCAATTTAACGTTCTTGACCCTGCTGAATCAACCATAAAAACGTGTCAGATATTCCAAAAACTAGTTGAAAAAACCCTTGCCAAGTTGGTTCAAGTTTTCTGAAGTTTTCTCTTGTTCTCAAATTCCTGTTTTATGACTGCATATTACATGGTTTAGGTTTCTTTAGATATTTAACAATTACATTAGTTCACTGTCGACTTCTCTCGCATGATAGTTGATGAGGGCACAGCCCTAGTCAACTATCATGCACAGAAATTCAGAGCAAATAATCTTATTGTTTTTAATTAGTATAAATCTACTAGTCATTCAAAACTTTATCCAAAAATTATCCTCTTTAGCGACACTTTGAAAAAGCAAAGAAGTGCCTACCAGCTACACTGCTAGGTTACTCATTATCTACAATAGAATTGATAGTGAGTAGCATAGCCAATCAGAAAATTGCATTCGTGATAGAATGCTAATGGATTTATACTTAGCTCTTATTAACCGAGCAGGAGGTCTGTATGGGGGAATCTTGACCGAGGTCGTGAGTACAGACCGAACGCAGTAAGGTCTATACACACGACCGAGGTCAAGATTCTCCCATACAGACCGACTTAGCTCGGTTAATAAGATGTTTATTATATGGCAAAGAAGAAAACTTTAATT